ATTGTATAATGTTATTACATAACCACATGTTATTACAGAACCACATGTTACTGTCACTTTAATAACGAAAGTGAAATTACGACATGTTATTAAAGGGACAGTACGACATGTTATTAAAGGGACAGTATGACATGTTATTACAGGGACAGTATGACATGTTATTAAAGGGACAGTACGACATGTTATTAAAGAGACAGTATGACATGTTATTACAGGGACAGTACGACATGTTATTATAAGGGAGAGTATGACATGTTATTAAAGGGACAGTACAACATGTTATTAAAGGGACAGTACAACATGTTATTAAAGGGACAGTGTGATATTATTGGTCGTACCGTGATGCTCCTCCTCTCATTAGACGCCTCGGTGGTGAGGTAGGCCTCTTCGCCCTCGCTGCCCTCCACCCTCAGGAAGCAGTTGGTGGTGTGTCCGATGCCGCTGGGCAGGACGCGGTCCCTCAGCATGGCGTTGATCACCGTGCTCTTCCCGTTACTCGTCCTGCAGCACAGAGACATTTTATTATTCTTTATCACAGCTCACTGATATTCAGAGAGTACAAGTACACACATCCTGTACTCAAGCAGAAGTACAGATACTCGTGTTTAAAAATACTCTGGTAAAAGTAGAAGTACTGACTTCTTTACTCAAGTCAAAGTAAAGAAGTATGGGCTTTGAAATGTACTTCAGTAAAAAGTACCCATAACTAGCAGCTGTTTTAAAGAGTACCTGACCTCCCTTTATATTAATAGAACAATAATGTCATTGTTAGCTAATGAATGTTTCCATGCTGAACAACGGCAACATGATAACGTTTTCATTGGTCCCTCTTCTTTAAAGACCAGGAAATGACGCAATGGTATAATCAGGGTTAATACCAGTGTAATATGGGTGTAATAACAGTGTAATATGGGTGTAATAACAGTGTAATATGGGTGTAATAACAGTGTAATATGGGTGGAATGTAGAAAATAGCAATTAAATAATTGTTCAGAATATTTATGTGTGATTTCCCCTTTAACCCTCTGAGACCCACGGGGCCGTATACGATCCCAAATATCACGTTGAGTTCAAAGATTTTTCAAGGTGACGATGTCAATGAAAATTCAGATGAATCTGCTCAGCATGCCATATGTGATTGTGGACAGGATGATATACACATGATATATATCATGTGTAGTCTTCAAAATGGGCAGGACAAAAAATGACAATTCCTCGCAAAAAAAACGCTCATGGACACTGCCCAAAAGAATGGGCATAACTAATGATCAGAATAAGTAAGAATCTTCTAATCAGTTCTGATACAATGATAATAAATGTGTGCAAATGACTGTGTTCAATGTTTCTTTCAATGTTATGGTTAGCAGCTCTTTTTAATGAAATAAGTAAAAAAATATCCCCTATTATAGTGTTTATAAGTCTCTAATGAGTGACATATATCATTAGCTGAGGTTGTGCTGATTTCTGGGATGTGTAAAACTTGATTATACTGTTAAGAAATGACAATTTATAAGGCAAAACACAAAAATATACAAAAACGGAAATGTCCTATGTGGGTCTCAGAGGGTTAAGGGTTGATATCTTGCAGCGTTAACAGTTATGAGTTATTACATCAGAAACAGACGTGAATCAGCTGGTGTGTTTGAGGAAGTTTGTGAAAGAGAGATAACGGTTATCAGGGCGTCGGTTGGATGAGAATCAGAGTTTCTGAGGAAGCCAGAGCATTCTGGGAACCTGAAGAGGACACTGCACATATTGTAGTTTTCCAATGTATTCGTCTTATTCTTATTGCACTGGGTTTTCATGTATTTACTCTGTGTTTAGTGTCCTGTCTGTCTGTAACTTTGTGTGGTAGTGTTACCACTGACAGGTCTCTCTTGGAAATGAGACCTTGTGTCTCAATGAGATTTTACACCTGTATAAATAAAGGCTAAATAAAATAAAAAAGATTTACATTTCTTGCCAACCTTTTTTTCTCTTATTTGTTTTTGCTCTTGTAATAGTTTTACAAAAGTTTTATGATATATACTATTATAAAACTACTGTACTCTTGCGGTGTTGATGTTTGAACACCAGAGCAGCTCGTGTTAACCTCAGACCTCATTTCAGGATAACCAAAAACACATTCACAGAACCATTGACCTCCAGACCAGGGGACAGGAAGTGGGGAAATGCTGACTCATGTCACGGTTTACGACTCATAATGCTGTGTTCTGTCCTGGATAACCTCAATAAAGTGTTTTTCTCTTCCTGTATTTGGTTCCACCGGCTGCGCTGACCTGTGATGGTCCTACCTAACAATAACAATAACAATAACAAAGACCCACCTGCCGAAGAAGGCCACCTTCATGTGTCTCCGCAGCAGAACCTCTCTGATGGTCCACAGTTTGGTGGCGCAGCTCTGCATCTCCAGGCTCTGCTGCTCCACGGCCACCGGGCCCAGGTCCTGCCCCCGACAGCACTCTGGACCACAACCAGGACCAGGACCAGTCACACACCA